AGGTTCCTCTCTTATGCACTCTCTCCAGATGTTCTGACTCTCCAGCATTTATCTGTTGACAACCTTCTACATTCATTTCATAGGTTTGGTAGGCTGAGGCCCCACTGGTTTTCAAGACAGATTTAGGCAGTGCCTGGGGTAAGTTACCAGATATAAGCAGACATAGAAGGGTTGAGCCTGTAAGCACTTTTCACAAGTGCAGTCTCCACATTTGCATACCTCACCACTGTTTTTCATGACTCTTCTTTTCATCTTAATAACTAGTAGTTGTAGAGGCCCCACTGGTTTTGGGGCAGCTGCCCTCCAGATGGATTATCTTGCTGGGGCCTCTGACTGTACTGACCTGGGAGTGAGACAATCCTCAGAAGCAGGGTTATAGGTAACAAAAGAATTTTATTTACACTAGAAAGGGGTCTGTGACTAACTTGTCTTGGGCTAGCTACCCAGAGCCAAGAGCAGCCTTCACCTACAAACCTCCAAAGAACAGCCTCGACCTTTATTAGTCGGTCAGCAAACCTCCTATTAGTCGGTCAGCAAACCTCCTATTAGTCGGTCAGCAAACCTCCCATTAGTCAGGCTGCAAACCTCCTATTAGTCAGTCTGCAAACCTCCTGTTAGTCAGTCTGCAAACCTCCAGACCTCCAAACCTCCATTGGGGCAGGCCTTTCCTTTTCCTTCCTTCCTCCCTCTCTGCAGGCCTCTCCACTCTCCCCAGGCCTCTCTGCAAACTGCAGAGGCCTCAGGACTTTCCACATTCTGGCCCCACTCTGTTCCCAAAGGTGCCTCTTGCTGTCTCTCTCCTGTTTCTCTTCCATCCCCCCTCCAGAGGGAGACCTTTGGCCTTGCTGGAATGGCAGAACTAAGGCTGCTTTACTCTGGGCCAAGAATAAGAACCCTGGGAGGGAAAGCTCGCGCTTCTGATCCTCTCCCTTTGGGGAAGGGAGGTTGTAGATTCTGAATAGAAGGTAGAGAGGGGAGGATTGTTCCACGTTTTGTGGGGAATGGGTGGAACTTTCCCGGGTCTGCGGCCTGCTCTGTTCTTGGTGGACTTGGCTATGTCAGGTGCCTGGCTCGGGAAGTGTGAGGGACCCGCCCCGCCCCGTGCCCCCCCCTCCGCACACAGGCGGCTCCGGTGGGGTGGGGCGTCCTCGTCCTGGGGGGGCACTGTCGTCGCCTCCATCTTGTGTCCAATCGCTGGGTCCTGGAGGGAGCTGATCCTTCAGAGCCTGGGGTCAGAGGTCATCGCGGCCCTGGCAGTAACCGCTCCTGTCCCCGCAGCGCGGTTCCTG